GTGCTGTAGTTCCTATATAGCCCAACATTAGCCGCCTTTAGCTTAGCGGTGGTGTTGTGAAGTCATGTGACCGTGCTGTAGTTCCTTTATAGCCCAACATTAGCCTCCTTTAGCTTAGCGGTGGTGACGTGAAGTCATGTGACCGTGCTGTAGTTCCTATATAGCCCAACATTAGCCGCCTTTAGCTTAGCGGTGGTGACGTGAAGTCATGTGACCGTGCTGTAGTTCCTATATAGCCCAACATTAGCCACCTTTAGCTTAGCGGTGGTGACGTGAAGTCATGTGACCGTGCTGTAGTTCCTTTATAGCCCAACATTAGCCACCTTTAGCTTAGCGGTGGTGACGTGAAGTCATGTGACCGTGCTGTAGTTCCTATATAGCCCAACATTAGCCACCTTTAGCTTAGCGGTGGTGACGTGAAGTCATGTGACCGTGCTGTAGTTCCTATATAGCCCAACATTAGCCACCTTTAGCTTAGCGGTGGTGACGTGAAGTCATGTGACCGTCCTGTAGTTCCTTTATAGCCTCTCCAGCTTTTCACCTCAAAAATCATGTGATTTGAATCCACTCCAAAATGTTATGGGTTCTTCTTTCTCCCATGCTACACCCTTCTATAAATGTACATGAAAATCAAACCAGTATTTTTTAACTCACTTCCTTGATGGAGCAAAAAAATAAAGTTGGTTAAAAAATGGTGCTTATAAAAAACAGAGATAACAAAGCTTAAAAAACAGAAACGTCCTTTTAAAATATGCAGGAATCTAGCAGAGGAAATCCATAATGTGTTCATATGATGCGTTCGAGGTCCTGGCTGTAGAGGTCGAGCTCCTGGTACAGTATGAAGTGTTTCAGTCTGGGGGGGAAAATGTGCGAGTCCATGACTTCAGGTTTGTTGAGTCTCTTCAGGGTCAGACGCCTCCGGATCTCCAGTCTGCAGAGGTGCCGCAGGGAGCGAGGGCTGTCTGGAGGGCAAGGTAAAAAAGAATGGGTTTTACTTTATTAGTTCATTCTTCCATAAAACACAGAACTGAGGGATTAAACACAGTAATATAGAGGGCTTGTGCAGGAAAGAGACCACACATAAAGGGGCCATATTCAGCTCATTTTCAGGTTCACATTAGTATTCAATGTCTCTTCTGTGACATGTCTCCATGCTTTAATGTTCAGAAAGCCCTTTATTTTTCTCTTTTCACCCTCTGTCTGAAACCAGAGCCCCGTCTTCTCTGATTGGTTAGCTGGCTGGCTCGGTTGTGATTGCTCACAGCCACTTAGAGATGTCCCGCCCCTTGCCTATCACGTACGATGAGTTGGAGTATTAGTAAAAAAAGAAGCGAAAGATTTACATAGTGATGTTACTATAAGTAAACAAAGGAGTCCAATGGAGGCGTTTCAGGCAGGGGGAGGGGGGGATATGTGGGAGAGAAAATCCCACTCAAACCTATAGAACACATCAAAGGAGAGGGAAACCCCCAGAACAATTAAAGGGCCTCGTTTAAAATGATACTTCTTCATATGTTAGTGATGGCAGTCTTTGTAAGGCTTTGAACCTTGCCTCCAGCCAGATAATAATCTTGAATGAACTCACTGAGGATGTCGCAGATGTCGGGCCACTCTCTCTGTTTCTTCAGGAGCAGTCTGAGTTTGGAGCAGATCTGAACGTGGTTGACGTAGTCGAGCAGAGTCCGGACCACCGTGCCGGACAGATGCATGACGCAGCAGAGGCTCATGAACTCACAGAACTGCAGAGAGGACGGACAATCACAAGGTCAACAATGTCTTCTCTAGAAGTAACATTATATATAAATGTGCAACTCTTTCCAGTTTCCCCCCCTTTTTCTAACTTAGCTGATGTCACTTACTGGACTCTTCCCGTCCCAGAAGTTACGTTTCCATACAACAAAACTGCATTATCAATTATGT